TGCATTTTGTAAATCATTACTAAAACTTTATACACTACTAAACTATGTTGTAGAGGCATAGCTAATCTGTGTTTTTTTAAACTAACTTTGAAAAACATAAATCATTTATATCTAGCTTAATAATTATAAATATTTTTATACAAATTTTAAACATATTATGAAATTTTATATTTCACGGGGTAGTTTATGTTATACGTGAGGTGTATCTCAATTAAATAACGCTTGAAATAAATGATATAAATTTTTAAAATTTATACTTTGGTTTTATTAATATAAAATATAAATTAAAATTTTTAGGTATAATTGGGGTTCCATTTTGAAAATACAATTAACCATTGAATGATTTGTATTTTTTATAGTTGTGATTATTATACATTTCTTTTACGAATAAAATCTATGTAATAACTAGACTTGTAAGAAACTCAGATTTTAGACATCAGATTATAACTAAACATTAATTTTATTGAGAACAATGTGGGCAAATTTAAGCTAAATATAAAATCAAATAACAATTTTTTCAATAAATATTAAAAAAGTTTATTTTGAATTTTGAGATCGAATGTTTAAACTAAAAATAATTATGAGGAATGAAGGAGAAAAAATAATCAAACATTGATTCTTAAATAAGAGACCATTTCTAAACATATTTTTAAAAATCTTGAATAATAGTTGAATATTTTTAGCTGGAATCAAATATTTATTCGAATAATCTCAATTTGTATTCTTGAATATTATTCGAATAAATAAAAGATACGATTCGTAAAAATGCAATGAATATTGGTACACTTCCATTTTTATTTTCTTAGATGAATGGTCTGATTGTTATATAATTGTTCTGCTATTAATATTTAGTATAACTCAGAATTTAAGCTTTTGAAAATAAATCATATTAATAATTTACCTTTTTTTTCTTTCTTTCAAGAATTTTTTATTATAAATTTTTAAAAAAAATTTAAGAGATCTTTTTGCAAATGTAGATTTTATTTAAACATAAAATTAAAAAAAAATTTTAAAAACAAAAATTTATGATGTGGCAAATCATTTCTAACCTTTATATAAAGTTAAAAGAATATTGTAAGAAAAATGATATCAGTTATATATTAATAACTTAAACTTTAAAAAATTACAATAATTAGATCACATATTTTTATATTTATAAAAGAGGATCATATCATATATATTAAGTAATCGTTTTATCGCTAAGAATATCATGGCACTTAAATAGTATTTAAATTTTTTGAATTGATTAAAAAAAAATTCATTGATAAATATTATATATACTATGAAACTTTTAGAAAAAAAAGATAGGTTTTGGAAATAAAAAAACAAACAATAAATTAGGTCAAGAAATTAAAATTTTATTTATTATCTTAGGGTTTCCAATTTTTGTTAATTTATTTATGGAAGGCAACTACAATTTGTTCATAAACTTTATCATAAAATTTTTATTAAAAATTAATAAGTGAATTAATTCCCAGAATATGAAATCTTATCATATAAAATATCTTTTGGCATTGAAACATTATAATTTCTGTTTCTAATCTCGGGCTCTTTAGCGACACTAGAACAGATTATTCAATATAATTATATAAACTTTTTTCATACCTCAACAATATTAATGATTCCTTATTTTTAAACTAATTGGCATTTATATATTTTTTTTAAAGTTTAATTAGAGTAGAGCCAAAAAGGCCTGAAATTTAAAATGGTGTGGAAATCTTAAAATATTTTTTTTCCAATTCGAAAACTCTCTTTCTTTTGCATTATTAAAAAGTAGGCATTTTTTTTAAGATTGATCCTAATAATTCGTATTTTAAATACAGGATATTTGGTAGAAATTTATTTAATTTAATTTTTTATTTTATTAAAAATATAAATAACTATCAAAAATAATAATTCTTCGATAACTTTAATAAAGTTTATCTTAATCGTTTTTTACAAACTTAAAAAAAATTAGGTTTCATTTGGAAGCATTAAAATTTTTTTATTAAAATTATATATATCTTTTAACCTTTAATCTTTTTCAATATGATAGTTCCTATAAATATCTAAATTAAATAAATTTTTATGAGATTTATATCATACCAACCAGTGACTATATTAGATTATTAAATATCTTACGGGTGACTATATTACATTATTATATATTAAAATTACAAAAATACATCAAAAATAAAGTTCAAAAATATAATGTTATTTTTGAAAGCATATAGTTATTTATATTTAAACACAAATTTAATATTTTCGACTTAAACAGAATAATATAATATTTGGTAAGGTTCAAAGGTTAAATCTTTTAGATATAAATCAAAACATATTTAAACGAATAACAAATAATTAATAATTATAAGGGAATAAAATCGTGAATTATTTAGAAATGGATTTTCCGGCCTCTGTATTATTTTAGAAAATTGTTTGGGAGGGCTACTAGAAAAAATGATATAAATTATTTTCGCTTGCTTTCTTTCTTATCTTTTCTTTTATTTTCAATTCAATTCTATTCTTTCTTTTCTTTTGTTTTGTTTTCTCTTTAATTCTATTCTATTCTATTTTTTTTTCGCTTAGTTTATAATTAAGACCTATTTTTTTAACGATTATATTCTATAAGAATAAACTTTTGAACTGTACCGAATATATCAAACTGTTTTTTTTAAAAGCAATTATAATTAAAAAAATAATATTTTATTTTTTAAAAATAACTATTAAAAAAAATATTAATTTATTTTTACATACTTTCAATATTAACATTTTCAACTGTATACTAAGGTACACTTTCGTAATTTTAATCTATAAAAAAATATTTATGACACTATAGTGATAAAACATATACTATACTCATAAAATTAAAATCAATTTTTAAAAATTTAATTTTATCATTGATAATGATGACACAAAAGATATATGTATTTGCAAATCAAAAACATTAGAAATTGAATAAAGGTAAAATATATAGTTTTGTAAATAAAAAAACATAAATATTAATTATGATGTTAAAAAAAAATTCTTGTTGAAAATGAAATAATAAATCATTTAAGAAAAGGTAATGACTTCCAATCTCCCCTAAAATTCTTAATGATTGAAAATCATAGACGTTTTATAAAATGAAATATATATTTTTTAAATTTTCTTCATAATGTAAAGGATCCATTTGATTGAGATTATAATAAATAATAATTTTTATAAATAAAATTAATACCCATGAGCTGAAGATTTAAATCTGATATATTTAATTTAATTAAAATTTTTCTTAATTTGAATATTATAGACAATATAATTTGAAAATGCAATTTTTAAAAACTCAGAAGTTATAAATGAGAAATATTTTCAGATATTACAAACAGAAATTACCTAAAGCACAACTGGTGTAGAATAAATAACCCCATACTGAAAAATTATTTATTTTAGGTTTAAATATAAGGATTTTATATTTGGGCAAAGGTAAGATTTGGGTTAATAAATGGGCAGATTGGTTAAAAACCCGCCCGTTGCAGAAAATCCTAATACTATTTCAGACTCTCCGCCAAAGAACAAATCAAAAAAGGATGATATATATCGGTCATAAGCGAATGCCTGATGGCTAAGATTTCGAAAAGTATAATAATTTCACTTTATAAAAATTTTGTTCTCTCATTAACCAAAGTCGCACATAGATATGGATTAAAGCTAGGCATTTTTAAATAATGGCGTATATAATGTGGCCTAAAATAATTATTTGCCATATTTAGTGAAGGTCAACGGTCGGTCTTAGACCGGGACCGAACAGGACCGATTGTAAGACCGATCTTTAAGGATCATGGTCTGGACTGGTCTTTTTATTTTTTACGGTCCAGACCGCGGTCCGAACCGGTCTTTTTTTATTATTTAAGTTTGCTTTACTATTCAATTAATATAATTTTTTTGTATATTTTATTTTATGATATTTTTCTAGATGAGTTATTTTAGATTTTATTAATTTTTATTTAGAATATGAAAAACTTAAGTTTGTCCAAGAAACATTTTACTTATAGTCACAATAAAAAACATAGAGTATGTGTTCACTGCAGTACCAAATTTAATGTATCGTCAGCAACAAGTAACAAAATAATTGTTTATAATTTTTTAAGCAATAAATTAATCAAAATAAGCACTATTATTATTAAAATATTTTGGTTATTATTTATGTAGTTCTATTTATTCTTAAGAAACTGTCTGAATAATTCATTGTCAAAATAACTTAATCTTATTTTTAATAAAATAATTAGGTACCTTAAGCAGACATCTGATAAAACATAAAATATATACTTCTAATGATGAAAATGAAAATATCTCAAAAACACAATCTTCTCTTAATTTTAATATGCCCTCCACAAGCACAAAATCATTTTCTTCAATATCATTGGATAAATTTTAGTTATAATACTCTTATATTTAATAAAATGATAAAACAAATTAAATTAGGTTGAAAAAATGTTGGTCCGGTCCGAGGGTATCGGTCTATTCCGGACCGAAGACCGGACCGTGGCCTTCACTAGCCATATTCCTTATAAAAATTCAAAATATATATTAATATTATTTTTAGACGTCCGTATCATATGTTTTAAAGTTATTATTTTATTATTTAATTCTCTGTAAAATTGTGTAGTAAACAAAAAATACAATTTTTTTTCAAAATAATAAAGTCATTGATTTCCAAACTTTAAATTAGAAATATTTTTCAAATGTCATGGTATTCTTAGTGACAAACTAATAAACAAGATTTTTATAACATATAAACACATCTTGTCAATATCATTCCATTTTTTCCATATAAAATAAAAAAATATGTGATCTAATTATGTGATTTATATATTTATTATCACCTATTTTTTACTTTTATTTTTTAAAATTAATTTAATAATTGAAATTTAAACTACTTACATTTTTAAACTTTAAAAAGTTTGAAATTATTTGTCGCATATTAAATTCCTATTTTTAATTTTCTCTTTGAGAATCAAAACTTAAATATACTACCTATAGGAAAAGAGATTCTTGAAGAAAAGGGATAAAAAGGTAATTATTAAATAATTTATATTTCTTGCTAAAAGATTATGAATTATTTTACACATCTTTTGAGTTATATGAATAATAAATACAGAAAGTTTATTTGACAAGTAAACCATTCATATTTATTAATGAGAAATGTGATATTTTTAAATGATGAATATAAAAAATAATTTTAAGCCTCGAAAGACCTAAAAGCCTTTTAGTCATAATTGATCAAAATTTTATGTAATATTGCATAATTATAAACCGCCGAAAACAACATATTTCTTATTTATAGCTAGAGCCTACATCTTTTTTAAATCTTATTGTTTTTATATTTTACTTGACAAAGCAAAAAGTAATTTTATTCGCTCATTTATAAAGAAATCTAAAACATGTATTAATTTAAAAAAAATTATTTTCACATTTAAAAAAACGATTTGCTAGGAAAAACATGTGCAAATGTCAAATTCTCATATTGGTCATGTGTAGGGAGTTGCTGATATACGTAAAAAATTTTACATTTCACAATTAATATGATGTTTTACATATAGCTCATGTGCAAGATTGCAAACTAGATACATGCTTTAGTGAATTTGCAAACTTATAAAATGTTCAAAATTTTATTTTTTTATTTTATTTATGAGTAAAATTTATTTTTAAATTATTCAATAATATTTAAGTCATTTTTATTTATATGTTCATTTTAACCCCAATCGCCGATATATTTTTTCTTCATAACATTGTTAATTGGGCCAAGGAATTTATTTTGTAGATACATTTTCATTAATATCCAGAGTCTGAATAGTAATTTGCATAGATATCTGTCTTATAAAAGTGTTTAATTTAAAAGATAATGATTAAATGAAAAAAAATTCGATAAATAAAATATTATACTCAAAAATATTAAAACTTACAAAAATAATACATTCTATCTAACAAATCAAATATTTAATTGTTTATTTTTAACAAAAAAAGTGTTATATATTATTTCATTCTAAAAATAAGGTAAACGCAGGTCTAGGCTCCATAGTTGATTCTCCTTCATTTAGGCCCGGTAGAGATTCATCCCCAGTTATAGATTCAGGAACAGCTTTTCGAAACCAGGATAAAATAAGTTCGATCGATAAACTGCAGGGTCCGACATTTATAGGTGCTGGTTTTAATTCTCCACAACAATATCATCAAAAACTAAGTAATATATTATGAGAAGAAAAAAAGAGTATATTATAACAAAAATCATGCTTTAATAAAAGAAATCATGTCATTTCTCTTAATAAAAAATATAAATCCAAATTTTAATAAACTTTTATCATATGCCAATATTTGTTACAATAACCTTATATTCCTTTAGCATTACACCAATCAAGGCTTCTTTTTTTTTACCAATAATGACTCTAAAGATGATTATTATTTTCAAAAAATCAATCTTTAAATCGTCCTTAATATATTTTATTGTTTTAAAAAAAAATGAAAAGCTGCACCATAATGAGCACAACTGATGTTACATATATAAGCTTCTTAATGCGTTTTAGGATCATCAGTATATATTTTTAAAGATTGTGATATTAACTCTTGGTATTTACCTGAAGCTCTATTTAATTAGTTTAGAGTTCTTGTAAATAAACCACTTGTTATATCGATAATCACTATTTTCATAGATGAGTACAAGATAATTAATCTTATCATCAACCTTATCAAAATCCTTATATATTGGTTTAAAAGCTTTGATACTTGAAAGTATTGAACGTATCTATTTTATTATCCCTCTCTACTTACATTGAGAATATGCAGTGCATTTATATCCTGTAATGCAATTTTCGTTCATTTAATTTACAATCATAAGCCACATCTAGTTTGGTCACTAGATTATTATATTATTTCATAATCTGTATTTAATTAAATAATTAGAATATACATATTTATTTGATTAATATTTTAAAAAATCAACTAATTTTATAAATTTTTACTATTAAAAATTGAATTTTACGTATAAGCACTAACAATTTTAAACCTTCTTCAATTTTTAAATTTAAATATCCTTCTATCAGAAAAATTTTCATAGTAACAATGTAAAAAAATTTTATCTTTCAATAATTTAAAATATAAGGTAAAGCCAGAAAACGTTCTCCTCTTAATACAAGTGGCAAAGACAACTCCAAGAAGTTATTAAAACATAATCCACATAGACCCCAGGGTTATATTAAATTTGGCAAGCCGAGACACGCTAGCCTAATCGGTGATAGCGATAAAAACAGTAATCGCAAGTACAGTTCTTCCAGTCATCGCAATTTTCTCATAAACTCTAACTCTAATCCTAACATAGTACATCATCAAAATCAACTGGGAAGGCAAGTAGTAAATTCCCCACAACAAAGCTTTCAATGGCAATATCCTGGTTTTATAGGGCCTGAGCCAGGCTCGCCTTACGCAATTGGGGATAATTCTGGAGGTCAGATAGCAGCGAATAACGACCAATTACCATTTTTTACCGGTGGCGGAGGTAGATATGGCGGATTCGGGAGTAGTGGAGGATTTAATCAAGGATATGGAGGAGGAGGTTAATTTATTATTATTTAACATAATATAATTTAAATACAAATTTCAATGGAGCAGACTAAGCTACTACAAACATTTCTTTTAATAATAGAGCCATTAAGAAAGGTACACTTGAGAACTAATTATTTTACTTATCGGTTGAAGCAGTAATGGTTCATTAAACTAATAAAGCTGATAATAAATTGAGATTATATCGATATCCATTATATTTTATTATAAAAAATAGTACCTCATTTTATATTTATTTGACTTATTAATCCTTAATCTATTAATTTTATGACTTTAGTACGCTCATTTGTTGATTATAACCCAATTTTTGATCATTATCGATTCCGTAGTGTAAAAAAAAGATATTGAAAACTTTTAGGTTTCAAAGGACACTAATTGAGCTAATATGGAAAACTGTGTAATTTAAAAAAAATGTATTTAATGAAAGGAGGTGGTGGATACGGTGGAAATGACGGAAATAAAAAACAACCAATAACTCAGCCCCCTAAAAAGAAGCAAACGACATTTGAGTCCAAAAAAATTACTACGTCTAGATTTAAAAAGCAAATAACTATGAATATGAAGTTTCAGAAAGAAACATCTTCCATAAGACAACCTAGGAGGTACCCTCCTCGTATTAGGATAAACGATAATTTTCCACCTAGACTTACACCAATCATAGGTAAGTTATTCATTTTTTTCTCCCCTTTTTCTATAATCTTTCAATATTTAATTTAATAAAAAATGAATTACGAAAATACGGCTAGAATGGAAAAAATATAAGTAAATATTTTTATAGATCAGGATTTAGGACATTTGTGCAAGAGGGGCGAGCCTTTATTGAATGTTATTTGCGGGCCCAGTGAAGGCATGTGTCCCATCAATTATGAATGCGATATGCGGAGAGGCTTGGATGAATTCGGAAAGTGCTGTATAAGAGGTTTATGAAAATATTTAATGGGGTTTTACTTCTATATGATGATTAATCAGATGAATAATAATATAGCATAACAAAGGGAACCTATATTTATTTTTTTAAATTACAATAGAAATAGAATTGTAAAAAACATATAGAGACCTTAGGTATTAAAATTATGATTTATATGATAGAATATGAGAATACAAAAATATTAAGTTATACAATCAAAACTAACCTTACCATCTGGTTAGTTTAAATTTTAAAAGTGATAAAACCTGAAATAGTTAACACCTCTGAGTAAGAAAATGTATAAAACTAGGCCTGCTGTTATTTTAATTTTCAATATGGGAACATTAATTTTTAACACATGTTTAATTTTTCAAAAATGATAGAGGACCTATGTCCAGATCAAACTTTAGCATTATCACGTGGAGTTTGTAGGACGAATGGAACATTCAATGATTGTCCATCCAATTTCAGGTGTATACCTATAGCCCTCAACTTCGGAATCGTTAATATGTGTTGCAATGGTAAATCGATATTTTTTTAATTAATTTTTTTGAAGTAACAAAAATTAAAACCTAAGAATTTTTAGCGGTGGCATAAAAAATGATAAAATTATTACTAAATTTGATGCTTAAATTGGTGATAAAACTAAGCAATCGATTGTTTATACATATTTTAGTGGTTCACAGGGTCTACTGCAAGTAGTATAATACCGGGGTTGGTAAAGTATCCTATCATCCCATTTCTAGATATTAAACTATGGTGTCTAAATAACCTAATTTATCAATTAAATGTAAATAGTAAGGAAAAATATGATTTTACCTAATTTTAAAAGGCTATATTATTTAAAACATACTTTTAATAATTAATGATGGCTTTAGAGAGAATAAAATTTATAAATCTTTTTTTAGTATTATTCCCTTATTTAAAATTTTAAGAAATAAGAAGGGCCGAGAACATACGATCAGAGGTTGGTATGAACGAGTCATCCTATATAAATAGTGTCAAAATAAATTACATTTGGAGTCTTTTTCTTACTTTTATGCTAGATGTTACCTGTTATTTGAAAATAATATCCAATTTTTATTCTTTTTACCCCTCCCCCCCCCTTCGGGCCAGGTTCAATTCATTAAAACTAAGTGCTATGGTCTGAGTAAAAATAAATTTAAAGCATTTACTTGATAATACCAATATTATTTGTTAAATGTTACTGATTACTTATACCTAATATTGAATATTAAAAAAAATTCCCAGGCAAAGTCCAAAGCCATATTAATTATGAAAAATTCTTCCAAGCCCAATGAAAGATCATAATAATTTTGGTAGTTAAGAACTGAAATAAAATATTTAAATAATCATAATGAATTTTAAAATACAATCAAAATTCAGATTTTAATGGGCCTTGGTTTTTTGATCAGGTCAAGCCCAGGCCTGCAAAAAAAATTTGTTTTAGGCCAATGTCTGACCTATAATTAATAATAAAAAAATTCTCAAGAGTCCAAGCTCATAATAATTTTGAAAAATTTTTCCCAAGCCAGGTCCTCGCACTTGGTTTTCTCAAACCCTCAAAAGACCATAATAATTTTGATAGTTGAGGACTGAAATAAAATATATAAAAAATCACAATGCATTTAAAAATACAATCAGAATATGAGAGTTGCATGGGCCCTGGTTGATCAGGCCTTGCCATGTCTTCAAAAGAAATTTTCAGGCCAATTAGCCCATATTTAAAATTAAAAAATTTACAGGAATCTTAGACTATAATAATTATGAAAAATGTTTCTCAAGCTATGTCCAAGTTCATATTAATGGTGAAAAATATTTCCCAAGCCCAGGAACCCAAATAATTTATTTTGATCTAGAAAAATAGGTCTGATGTAAGTGGTTTATATGAATTAAATCTGTCTAATTTCAAAAATATCATCAAATGAAGGGTAAATATCTGATTTACCTATGATTCTACTGGTGAGCTCCTGGTATTTATATGAAATTTATGAATACATATTAAAGTACCATTCTGAAAATATATCCTAATTTAAATTTTAAACAAACCAAATGATTTATTACTTAGTTACAAAATATAAAATTAAATTTAAGAAATTGTTATTAAATACAAAAAATAAAAAATATGTCTAAGTTATCAAATAATAGGAGGTAAACTTCAATCATAGTCAAATTATATATAAGTAAAACAAAAAGGTTATATATTTAATCAAAAATGTTATAATAAGTTATGAATAACATACATTAACATACATTCTACAATTATGAAGTTATGAGTAAATATACAAAATTTTCCTATCTTATGAGGTTTTATTTAAAAATTTATATTTATTTTGGGGTTATTCTAAAATTTTCCATTATTTTTATAAAATATGTTAATGATATATTTAGTAATTTTATTTATGTTATTTATTTGTATTTGTAATTTATAATCTAAAAATTTATTCCTGCTAGATAAGAGTTTTGTTTTATCAAAGTGTGCTTTGTCCCTTCCATATCTCTCTTATCTTTTCGGAAACCCCATTATAATTGTATCCTAAATTATACATAAATTCAAGAATTAAAATAGTATTTAAATAAATCTCTTATTACTATTGAATGGGTACTTGCCATTTAAAGTTCTACCTTATTCCTATTGAATTGATACTTGATGCATTTAAAGTTCTATTTACCCCTAAATATTCAGGAATATGTATAATATTATGTGTGTATTCAGTGTATTCAATACACAAGCAAAATTTTAAAATGTCAACTATTAATTAATTTATGAAAGTTGCATGGGACATGGTTTTTTGATCAGGCCGGGCTATGTCTGCAAAATAAATTTCAGACCAATCTATAACCCATATTTAAAATTCAAAAATCTTAAAGCGCCTCTATTTTAAATTTTATCCAATAATATTTCCATCACATTTTTAAATTTTGATATTTCTAATACATCCTCACAGTATACATTGCAACAATTTTACCTCTTTTACTCTTAAATTTTAATATACAAACTAAATAATTACCCTTCCACCACATCAGCTAGTATGGTAATAATAATAAACGGTTGAATTTTAAAAATATCAGATATTAATTAATATCTATAATTAATATTTAATATTTAAAATTTAATTATATTCAAGTTGGTGCATGCGTAAAGCATACGCCTTTGAAACTTTAATATATAATTAATATTTTAAATTTATTTATATTCAAGTTGTTGCATGCGGTAAAGCATATGCCTTTGAAACGGGAGGCTTGTATTCGATTCTCGTAGAGAGCAAAAAATTAACATTACACTATATAGTCTCCTTAAATTTAAAATACATTAGGGAGATACGAAAACGATCGTGTTATGATTATGGAGATTATATATATTAAAAAATATTTCAGTATCCGGCAGAATACAGGTCTATCTTTTATAGAATAAATTAATAATAAATAAATCATAGTTTTTTAAAATATTTAATGAGTATATATATATAAATATATACTTTATTAAGCTTTAATAATCTTCTATATAATTATAGTTGAAATATAAATGAACATATTAATGCAACGTTCACATTTATTTTCAATTTACAGCTCTATGTAGTATAACCCCAGATTTTATCTAAACCCTTTATGGACTTTTTATTAGTCACATATTTTAGCCTCTTTTTATATATTTATATTTTTTGTTTTAATAATCTTATAAAAATATATAAAAATAAGCAGATAACTTAAATCTTTCGTTTAATGGCCCTTTCCCACATTTACCTGGGTAATTTTCTCTTCTATCCTCTTTCTAAATTTACGGTATCAGCACGGCCATACCTAGAATTTTTATGTAGTTAACACCTTCGTCCAGATTGTCATTGGTGATCTTCTGGTCCTGTTCCCTCTCTGAATCTATTTATTCTCGCGACATAACCTATTTCTTCTGTCCCAACTCTTTCTCTCAGAATTTTTCTTGATCTTTCTCTTTCAACAACACATATCCATCTAGCCATTATCATCGCCACCTTCTAACCTCATTTCAAGAATTACCTAAATTTCCCATGTTTCGCTGCCGCATATAGCACAAGCATAAACATTTATCATCAAGGCTAGAGAGACATTTTTATACGTTAAAATGGATCACATCTCAGAATTTCTTCCAAGTATATTTTATTTTTTGTCACAACTGCCAAGTTAGCACCTCTTTCTGCTCTATATGTAACGCTTTGGTAGCAAAACTTTCCTCACTTTTTCAAACTTAGTCCATTTCTGATATAAAAACCAATCTTATTACCATCATCTCCCACCCCTTTCACTTATTTCTATAAATAACATCATGTTGGTTATCTGCACACTTCTACTATACTACTACATAGAGATGTAAAGGTAGGGAAATTTCCCGAAATTTCCCGAATTTTCCCTTAATATGAATATAATATTTTATTTCAAAAATTATGATTTATAATTTAATTTATTATATCATAAATTTTAAAATAATATTTATTTTCCTCGTGAGTCTTTAATTGAATGCTTTGTATGTGTCCTGCACATGGCTTAAATCTGATATTAAAGATTTATGCTAAAATACGTTTTATTAAAAAGATCATCAAAATAACTGAACAAATAATTAAATATATAATTTAATGGTATTTTATTGGCAACTTTTAAAGAGAGGCAAATATTAAACGGATATAAATCTTCCTTAAAAATTTCAAGTCCGACAAGATGGAGAGGTCTTGTTATAATGATGCAAAGTATTGTGAAAAATTATAAAATTTTTCAAGAAATTGCAATTTCAAGTTTATTTATAGACAAACAAAGAAGGCTTATTATATCGGACAAAGAAGGATACTGGGATAAATTAGAGCCTGTACTGACCTTTTTGGAATTTATTTATAACAAAATTATAATTGTAGAATCGGATACAGCGGTATTATCTGACGCACCAGAAATATTGGGATATAAAAGATAAACTCAATTCATCAACTTTTATTTTTAATGAAAATGATTTGAAAAGTGTTAAGATGCATATTAATAAACGAAAGAAATTTTGTTGCCGAGAATATCATTATGCAACAAATCTTCTGGATCCTAGATATTATGGTGTGAAATTAACAGACCACGAATTAACAGTAGCTTTAAATTTAATAAATATATTTCAGGCCAAATTAATTGCGATATTGGAAACATTATGAAAATTTAGAAGAATATCGTTCAAAACATGGTTTCTATAAAGGAGCTGGGATGTGGAAGAGCTTAATCCATACCAAACCACTCATATGGTAGAAAGGGTTGTGTACAAATCAACCCCTTTATAGTGGCAGTAAGATGTCTTTTGATACCACCCTCAAGTGCCTCGTCAGAAAGAGTCTGGTGAGCATTTGGAAAAATTCATTCAAAAAAGAGAAATAGAATAAGAATGAAAGAGTCGAAAAATTAATATAAATCAGGCATAACATGCATTTAAAAGATCACACAAATACATCGTATTCGGGATATCATCAGAAGAGTTCAAATTCCGATTTATCAATATAAAGTGAAAATGATGATATTTCATTTACATTCCATGAAAATATTGATACCATTTCATTAGCATCCCATAAATTTTAAATGTAATTTATAATACATGCTTCTTGTTATTAATAAAGTTATCCAAATGAAATGTTTACAGTGTCTTTTTGTCTTAATTGTTTAATTATTTTATTTTCCCTTAGTTCCCCAAATTTAATAAAGTTATCCAATAGAAAAAATTAAAAAGTTAAAAGTGTATTTTTATGGTTATTTTTTAATTTTCCGTGGTTTCCCCTAATTTTCCCTTTTTTTCCTCAATTTTCCTTTATTTCCACAATTTTCCTTTACTCCCAATTTCCACTTTTTTTCCCTTTTCTCGGGGAAATTTCCCCTGAACCAATTTTTTCGGAAAATTTTCATCTCTACTATTACACATATTGTGAACCCATTTATGAAGGTATAATTGATGGAGTTACTAGAAACACCACCTTCCCCCCCCTTCCCCATTGTCTGTTTTTTGATCTTTTTAAACCTTCAACTCACCACAGATTCCTAATGTACCCCTACTTTTATCTTAAGCATATCACTATTCCCATCATTTGTTCAAACCACCGTTCGCGCTATTCATTCACAGCAGTTATTAGCCCTTCGTTTACGCTTTACTCTGGATCAACTTTGTGATCTCTTGTATCACACAGTCATAAGTATTCTCCAGATCTGTAAATGATAGTAACCCGACTTCCCTCTCTTGGCTTATTTCCTGCATTTACTTCACAACAAAAATGGTGCTTGTAGTAACCTTTCTAGGTATAAAATAGAACTGCATGTGCCATTCAATTTTATTTGGTCCCATATTCTACTCCCTGCCTATTCTTAAAACCATCATTGACTCTTCCAAATGTTTAGTTGCTTTGAATGATCCACAATCTAAAGGATTACTTTTTTCTTTACATATTGGCAGTATCACGCTTTTTGCCTGTCGGCAGGTATAGTCTTTAAAAATAATTAAGTGGCATACATTCGTGGGCCACTCAATCCCCGGATCTATCAAATGCATGAGATATTTTAGTCACCGTAGGGCCCTGCCTTATCTTTCATAATCCTTTAAAAGTTTTCCTAATTTCATATTTACCTCCACATTTAAACCCTCTCACTTTTACAATGTCACATCATTGTTAAAATTGTTCTCTTCATTAATTAACCTTTCTATATACTATTTTAAAACCTTTTTGATTCCGTTAATATCAATTACAATTTTTCCCTCTTATTTTTTACACAGTTCACTTGGCTGCGTCAAGATTCCAACATCGCGTCTTTTTGTATCTCAGAGGTCCTTTTGTTCAACATCGATCTCTCCTTTTATTATTTTCCACTTGTTATTTACACCGAATACTTTGGACTCTTCACTCATACCGTGGCCACCATTGTAACAGAAACTTGTAGACATGTTAGTTATTTTTGTTGTAGATTTTAGTAAAATCAAAATTAGAGAGTAAGCTTAACCTGATCTAATGATATATATCTTCAAGTCGATCGCGCAATGTGTGAATTTATGAATTCTTGTCTTTTTTAAAAATACCTAAGATAGAGTTACAAGTTATATATTATTATAGCCATAAAATTCTACATTGGAAAAGATTTTATAAAAATTCCAAGTGTTTTCGTATTTCCGGTAAAAATGAAGAACTAACATTGTCGAGAAGGGGTTATTTGGGATGTTGATATTCGCTAGGAATGTTTTTCATATTTTATTTAAATTTTTCATTATTTTTGAAAAATATATCAGGCATCTGCATTTTTTTTCTTGGGGTGGGGGGCAAATCACACCCCTCCCCTCTCACTGCGTACGCACCTGCATCTCTAGATTGAGCCAGCTCCATTCACAACTCGTCTTTCTTCGAGTCCATTTTACTTACTGTTGTTAAACTACTCGATTTGAGCCGATTTTTAAAAACGGTTAACTCAAAATATTATCTAAAAAATATTACGCAAGCCTAAAAATTTTGGTCATAGATGGCACAATTTGGACATCTATTAGCGAAATCTCGAGATTTAATAATATTTTTTTTGACTGAAATCTTAAGTAAACCGTTTTAAAATAATCTCAAATCGAGCCGTTTAACAACACTATTTACAATATCCAGAAAATATTTCATATAAAAATTTAATTTAAAAAAATATTTTATCATTTGTTATAATACTATTCACTTTATAGGTGTTCAATTTTTAGGTTTTCAACCAGAATATCCTTATAAAAATCGAACATTGCCATTTCTATATGTAGACATCTATCCCAAATCAGGAGTTTAACCGCTATTTTACCTATAAAAATAATAAAAGTCACACCACTTATTTAAATATTTACTAATAAATATATTACTACTATTTATTAAAGATGTTAAGTGACTCATCTAATATTTTAATCCTTTTTTTTTATCTAATTTTATAATCGCACCTTAACTGATTTTTAAAATCAATTAGTGTCCCTCATTTGATTAATAATAACTCTTTAAAGAATTAATTGCCACAAATAAGAATATCTAGAGTAGGTTAATTATTGGATGTTTGTTATGTTTGAAATTTGTGAAATTTATAAATTTGAAAATATTAATTAAATAAGAGACAATTCGATTTAAATTACATTAGAATGATAATTTTTATATTATAAATATAATAGTTAATTTAGCTATAAAATCTTTTTTTTATCACACTCATCTTGCATAAACCTCAAAGCCATAAAGCCTGGTACTTGCCCCAGCGTCACACTTCAAGAACAATTTACCTCCACCATAAACTATACTATCCCATTATTCAATTCTACTACTACAAATCCTTTAATAGCCGTAGTAGCTATAACCATACCCATTCCGAGTTGCGCCGGAGCCTGTATCCATGACTTCTCTTGCATGGGAATGCAAAAATGTTGCCAGGGAAGTAATGGCTGCCCCGTCTGTACCAACCCAAATTTCCCCCAGAGCGCATTAGAACCTACAGCTCATATATCTGGAACAAGGTTTTTATTTCAAAAAGAATTTGCTTGAATAGGATTAATTAAATGATAAGTCATATTCATTATAAATAAATAAAACTATGGATTTCATTAGTAGTATAAATGAATGTTAAAAATTAAATAAAATTGAAGGAAACATTACCCTTATTTTTTGAAAAATGAAATTTGAGTTGGGTTTATGAAATTATTTCTATCTAATATTATTTTATTTGAGATATCTTACAATCTTGTTACAAGATTGCTATTTTTAATTTTTTACTTATTTTATTAAATTTTGTTCCCTTAAGAATTTTAACACATAAACGATAGGGCAATATTTTCTTTCAAAAAAAATTAAAACAAATTTAATGATTTTAATAAATATGTTTAGGATAGGATAGGATTTTGACACCAAGAATAGATTAACTTAAAACTTGTAAAATTATAATAGGATAGTATTTAAACAAAAAATGAAGATATTTTAATTAAATTTAAAACTACAAGGTTCAAATGCTTATAAAAAATATTTTAACATTTACAAAAATATATATTATTTAGATCTGACATAGCTGATTTTAATTCGCTTTCAAATAGCTTTAATAGACATAGGTCGATCAGTAATAATGACAAGAGTGCAGGTGATTTAAAAATTATTGTTAAATTGCAAACATGAATAAACGCATATTTATTTTTACAAAATTTACCAGTACATTTTAAAGTGTGTTTGATTGAAATTAAGTCAAGATTATAGTCTATAATTTAGAAATTTTTTTCATTTATTTTAATAATTAATAACCGTTAAATTTTTAATTTAATAATGATATGAATATCAAATATTTTTTCTAAATTCTGTTTTCAAAAATTATAAAAATATAATAAAATTTAATTTTTGTCTTATTAAAAACTGAAATTAAAAATCTATTAAGATTTTCTGATAAAGCTACTATTTTCTATTTATCCGGGATTCAGGGGCATCGCTAGCCTTGGGGGCTCAACTAAAAAAATTTTATGGGGACATAGCCCACCATACCCCTTAATGTGCGTGCCTTCGGCCCACTTTTGCCCGGCTTTCGGCCCACTTTTGCCCGGCTTTCGGCCGGGTTTTATATTAATACATTATAATTTTTTAACTAACTTTGAACAATTATTCTGAATTTCATATCTTGCCATTTATTATATTATGCATACAAAATAAACTAGAATATAAATAATTAAAACAATACAAGACATTTCTAAAAATAATATTTTTTTAATATAATTTATTACAGTATAATATATTATTAATTGCTTTAAAAAATTTAGCATCTAAAGAATTACAACAGTTAAAAAAGATTAATTAATTCATCCATATGCCTTAATTGATAATGGTTTTTAAAAATCACATAGTATAATATAATTCTTAGCAACTTGCATTGACAAAAGGTCATGAAACTAATATAACTCTCTGTTACCATTTTAGAAAATGTTCTATAGAATGGACTAATAAGGAAAAATTTATAGGCCTAACCAAATCAACAATTCTTGAAGAAGAGATTACGACCAATCCAAATCATAAAACTATATGGTGGTTAGAGCTTCCTTAGATAATATGATAGAAGCAAGATAAGTAATGGAGAAAATTATTATGAGATATTAAATTTCTAAAAGATTATCTTCCATTTTTAAAAATATATAAACGACTACACAGTTGACCATTATTGCTTATCTAAAATATACAATCATATGCTCTCAGCAGCTGTAGTAATAATCTTAACTTACATTGCCAGACAAATAATAGATACTGGTTAATTTGCAGTCATAGACATGACACTCACGATGTTAACTCATATCAGAATTTATTATATTAAATAAATTGATAAAACAAAAACACTAAAAATCTTTAGAAGAAATTATATAAATATATTGAAGCCTTAAGTTATTTACACGGCAAGGATGCCATATTAGTAATGAAACATTTTAACCAGAGTGATATGATGAAAACAATTAAGATTTTATATATTATTGTCGCGCCACCTCGAGTTTATATATTATATCTTAAAATAATAGTAGTTTGTAGTAATAGCAAAAATATACTCGTATTAAAAATTTAACTCGAAACTGTTTTTCAAATAAGAAAAAAATAGTTTTCCCTAAAAACACATAAAAAAAGAGAAATAAATATATCTAATTTATTACATCCTTTATGGGATGAATAATGAGATGTTTAATTCTTAATAATATTTTAAATATAAATAGATGGCGTCAGCGTCTACATGAGAGGGAGGGGTAGGAACAGTTTGCATCATATTTTTATAAGGGGGTGGGGGGGGGGGAGAGAAGCTGTTTTAATGGGGGTAGGATAAATTTTTTTAGGGGGGGGGGGGGTTATCTATTAAATTTTGAGATGAAATAGGAAAAAATTTATTGCTGTAAAAACTAATACTTTTATTATAGTATTATTATAATACAATTCATCGACCAAATCTATATATTGCAAACAATCATACACATTGTTTTCCAAATAAACTATCCTTTTGAATGTAAATTAAAAGGTTTAGATATTTCAGCAAGCTTATAATGCCATAATAATTAATTCATTTAAATAATGGAGGTTTTAATTGAATTTATTTTCATTCTTTATATTCACAAAATATCGATAGTTGGTAGTAGAGATAGATTAATTTAAGTTATCCTTTATAAATTCTTTGAAAAGAGTATTAATAAATTAATAGGTGAAAATAATAGGCGGCCGGAATTTTTTAGGGGGGTAGGCAAAGGTTTTTGAAGGGGGTTTGCATCCAGTGAAAATCCTGTCATGTAGACACTGGATGGCGTTAAAGAATTGAATGCAAATTGTTACTTATATTTAATAACAAAAGTATTTATTAGTAAAATTTATTCAAATATTAACTGTAGTATATTATATAACTGTCAAATACGTCTGTAAAAGTGGCATTTTACCTAATTTTATAATCAATTAAAATAGGGGATTATAAACTATATGTCTACTTTTTTTATAAAGAAATCTCCAATTATACTTATTTGGATCTTGAAAATATTTTTAGGAAGAGGCATGCTATTTAAATTTAAAAATGAATAATATAGTGTTGATTAGCGATTTTGAACTCGGCTAATTACAATATTGAATTTGTTAATTTTAAATTAATAAATGATTATATTTATTTAATTAGGGTTATATAATAATATAAATAATAAAAGTCAATTAAGCTTCAACTGTTAATGCTAAATTAATATTTAATGAGTGATATTGATATTCTATTTTTAATACAGAATTTGATTTTAAGCTTACATAGTGAAAATATAATTTATATAATCTAACCTAATAATTCAAATAGTATTCATTTAATAAAAATTTAGATAGTTATTAATTTTTAATAAAAAAAATTAAATCTATATATTACGTGATAGAATAATAAAAGAAATCATTCAGAGGGCAATCAAACAATTTATTTTTGTTCAAGGGGATATTAAGGAGCCATTAAAAAAATTTTTTGCAACAGGGTGTTATTCAAATTTTTCAGGGGGCTCGAGCCCCTGTGCGGCACTCCCTAGTGACGCCACTGCCGGGATTTACAAATTTAATTAGTTTGACCATAGTTTGCTATTGATTTCTGATATTTTTAAAGAAAATTTTATCTAAATAGATTCTAATAAATCTTTATATAAAATTATAAAAAAAATTTTTTTATTAATAGTTATTTTATTGTACCCTATCAGTTAAACAACTTTGCAGATTACACTTTTGATTGCGCATTTCTTCTAAAAAAAATGTTCACGTAAAGCCCTTACAATTTTGATCGTATGGAATGTATATTAAGGGATAGACTTCTCTTTTAATAAAACTATATATTTAAAAAAACTTACATATTATTTCGCTCAGATAAACTGAAACACTCTGAATTTATGTCTTAAGGTCAGAATTATAAATATAAAGTTTATTTAGAAGAGAGCAACGTATTCTTTGAAAATTTATGATCCACAAATTCTTAAAATTAATAATACTAATATTTTTTAATTAAGTCACTAAGTTGTAATTTTATATCTGAATGTTTATTTATTCCTGGGCAATTCAGTTTATTATCTAATCATCAATATTATTTCAAATATTTACTTCTGGCTTTTAAATATATATAATTTTTTGAATATTTCAGTTTTATATTTTGAGAGATAAATAGTAGCCTATTTAAATCTTACATATTTAAAAAAATATATATTTAGGAATAGGAAATTTTATGGTATCCGGTAACAGAGATTCACCAGCTAGAGGTTTTATGAGAAGTGGAGGTTTGGGGAGTCTAGTAAAATTTTCGAGTGGGGCACGTGGCATGCCATTAATGGAAGGATTGTATTATGATAACGAAGTGGAAAGAAAGGAAAATAATGATCAATGTAAGAACTAATTTAATATCAAAAATATGTTCTATATTGTAATTCTTTTTTATGGTTTTAATTTATCAGGTCTGATCTTGCAATTAACATATTAAAATCAATTGAGTTGGACATTGGCATATTATATATACCATAAAGTTTAAAAAAATATCAGATTTGGAATCAGGGTATAATAAGTTTTAATGGCATTGTTTCTTTCGAATGTCCCCTCCCCCCTCACATCTTTGGCAAATAATGTTAATAGTTGATTTTATATAGCCCTAAATAATGTAAAAGTTGGATTACATTCTGTTAAGTTTTTGAGCGTATAAGCATGCTTTTTATAATTTTCATTTAAAAAAAAATTTCTCATAAAAAAAAAATTACATATGTATAAAATTGCAAGATATTTTTTTCGCTTGGCAGATATTTTAAAAAGGAGGTGAAGATAAGGATTACTAGATAGATATGGGTACCGACTAGTTTCACTTTTTTAAAAAAAATAGTAAATTTGAACGTTGTTTAAAGAAGTTGGTATAAATCGATAATCAAAAAATTAAAAATAGGTAAATTTTCGATATTATTTAATTATTCTTAGATAGATATATAATTAAAATTTTATGACATTAAAAATTTGATCAATTATATGAATAAGCTATCTTCCTTTATAGCAAAAACTAATTCTATATATTAAACATCTAAACAAATTTAATATCTTTAAAAAAAGTCAATTGAAATGAAGATAATCATATTTTCAACTGTAATTCCCATGTATACTTTATATTAGACAAAAGGTGTTAATTATTTTCTAAACACAGATTCAAATAATGCGAGAAAAGGAGTAGTCAGGCGAAACCTAGATTATAGCGGTAGAAGTAGAAAAAATGAAATGAAAGTGCAAGTTGAAAATGGAGCTCAATCAGCCTCTAATCCCATAATGATGACAGGCTTATTTGGGGGCCAATCAATGGGTAACAGATATTTTAATGATAAAGTTCAACGTAATCAGCAACAAGGACAATTTAGTTTAGGGGATGGGTAGAGGGGGATTGGATAGGAGCAAGAACGCCAATTTCATAAATATCAGAAGTATTGTCAATTTATTTACTTACAATTAAACATGTAAATGCTTTAAAATGTCATCGCATTTAGCAATATTATTTTATTTCTAATGAAAAAAAAGTGTTCTATTGAAGTGGGTTTATCTGAATATCAAGTAGTATGTCATGAGTTTTATTGTAACAACAACTTACATTATACCATTTATAAGGACTATTTATAAGTTTGAAAATCTGTTAAAATAGATCCAGGATGTAGAGAGTTATCTACCCTATAAATTTCTCCCATTTTTGTCATAACCATCAAAGATTTAGCAAAATCCCTGAAATTTTTAGGATGGGTACTCTATTCTGCAGCACATCTACTTTTGATATTATTATAAAGATTATTCCAGTGTTCCTACACATAAATTAAGAAAGATCATGTGTATAAAAATTATAAATAAGTTTAGTGCTATAACAAAAAATCAAACACATTCGTGTTCAATATTTATTGACAAAAATTGAACACGTACGTTCAATGTTCACCTTAAAAGGAACGCGTTCACGTTCATGAATGTGTTCGCGTTCTTTCAAATTATATTTAAAAAAATTAAATTTCATTTATAAATAAATACCATATATTTTTTAACACAATATATTAGCCATGTTTAAGATTAATAATTTTAAGTGAATAAAAAAACATTTTATTATTAATTTTTTTAATATATAAAAAATTTGACATACAAAATTTAATAAATTTTAAAATATATGTAATACTGAAAAAATTCGGATTAATATTTTTTATTTTCAAATGAATAAAAATAAAAAGATTTTCTAAAAAGGAAAGAACGTAAAAAACCAACGCTTCATCAATAAAAGGAACGCGTTCACTTCAAAGTTCAAAAATATAAGGAACGCCGTTCATTATTTTTTCCAAAATAACCATTTAGTTCATGAACGCGTTTTTTTTAACTGTTGAAGCATTATAAATAGTAGTATTACATAATAACAAAACAGAGTCGTAGGGGCTACACCATTTCATAGACCCAGCTTTTAGCAGGTATTAAAAACTAACGTATGATTCATAATTTTTGAAGACATAGTTTTGACGGAACCAATTACTGCATGTATAGTGTAAATACTCTGTAAATTTCTAAATAATTAAAATTAATATAAAATAAGTGTAGCTCAAAATCTCTTATTAAGTATCATCATATTTTCAACACTTTAATATTGTAAGATATTTCTTAAAAATCGAAAATAAAAAGATATAAAGCCTGTTCCACAGAGAAGTTTTGATCAAACGGCTTATTTATTAGCTGCCGATATGGCCTCAAGGCTCAAATCTCAAAATGAGGAACTCCATAGAAGTGGAAAGCTTAACGATGATGGTTCTATTTACGTGCCTGGAGATCAAGCTGCCGTGGTTAATGGGATTTCCAGATATGAAATCGAACAGAGGAAGTTGAGTACTGACTTGCAACCAGAATGGATTTCGGCCCTATTTTCGAATTTAGGGGGAAAAACAGATATTGAAAACAAGTATATTAATACACCCAATGTGATCGGGGGGGACTATAGCGGAATGAATGGAAATTTCATAGGAGCCAGACCCGGCTATTTCAATAATTATCAAGTAATATATTGCATAGATTGTAGTTTCAATATTAGAAAGGTCTACCCATAGGAGGTAGCCAGGATTCTGTAAAAATCTACTTGATAAAAATATAAAAATTCGATAATAAAATGGATATTGTATTGGGCCACCTGAGCTAACTCCCTCCCCCCCCCCCCATTTTGTGCCACAACTTTCGCACCCTCCCCCAAGTTACAGGGACCTGCTTTATCCTCATTTTTAGATATTAGTTTTCAAAACTAATTATTCTAAAAAAAATTAAACAAGCCAATACTACAATAGAATTATATGACTAAAACATGATAAAAAAAATTTTCGGAAAAAATCACCCTAATTTTTTTAGTCGTAAATAAATTAAAAGATATAATTTATAATTTAATCTTAAAATCTATTTATAAAGGTATGATCGCCATTCAGTTGATTTTCATTAATTTAAATATTAGCTTAGATTTTCTATCTAAATCTTTTTATCAAGCAATAATTAAAAATGAAAATTTTGAACATTTAGAAATGGTATTCTATAATTATTTTCTTGGATTAAATATTATATGGTTAGTACAAAATGTATTTCCATTACAATGTTAAATTTAACAAAATATTGTAAAATTAAATTATGTACAAGAGACGAGCACACATCCTAGATCGAAATTCGGCCCGTGAGCCTGACAAATTGTATAAACGAGATGGGCCGGAGTTTTAATTTTTTTTTAAGCTGATAATGCATATAATTTTTATGACGAAAAATTATAGCCGGGCAAAAAAAAACTTAAGTAAAATTATTTTATGGGCCAGGCTGGGTAAAGATAATCGAGCCAGGTCTGAAAGAAGCCCGATAAAATATTTCCATGAGTCTCTAGTATTATACTATATATAAGAAATAGATATTTAAAAAATACACTCACAAATAACTTGTGAATATTAATATTAACGTAATCTACAAGAAATGTTCTCACAAATATAAATTTAATAATGATCAAAATATTCTCAACCACACTATCAAAAACTCACTGATTACCTATATCCTATCAAGGAACCAGTGATTTAACTTAACCTCAAGTTTATTAGATTTCCATATTTCATTCCCACTGCTACAATATATAATTAGAGTTTTGAATATTCAATTATTTTTCGTCCAAGCCTTACTTGAGTTTTTGCTTAAACCCAGCCCGTGTCCGGCAAGGTTTTTTAAAAAGCCCCTCATCTCTGATCAAAGATATATAGTACAGCACTAGATCCCTGTTTCTAAACGGAAGGTTAATAGGGGAGACCGGGGTTATGGCGAACCCTAAAAAGCAAACTTTAATAAAATTAAAAGTACTTTATCATTTTTAACAAATTTTGTTCAGCTCTATTAGTTTTATAGTAGGTTTAAATTTCAAAAATACTTATCTAATATTTTTATCAATATTTTATTTTTTCTGGATTTTTTTAGGAGTGAACCCTACCCGAGGACAAACGGGCTTTTGCTCGTATTTTTATCAATATTTTATTTTTTCTGGATTTTTTTTAGGAGTGAACCCTACCCGAGGACAAACGGGCTTTTGCTCGGGGCTATTATAAGCTCTGCATTTTTCACATAAAAGTTATATTTTTTTTATAAAAACATTCAATGATTTAAAGCATAAAACTAATTTATAAAATCATTTATAAACAAAGAAATGAGAAAATTATTCATCTTTGCAAATAAAATAAGGATTAAAATTGCAACATCTTCCATGTGATCAATAACTACAACTACATTTACGACATTGAAACCAGTCTTAATTGTTATGATGCTTGTAATAATTATTTTTGCACACTAAACAATTGTTATAACATTTTTTGATTTATTTCTTTTATTTGCTATCGCAATGGTCTTTTTTTCCATGTTAAAATTTAAAAAAAAATGGTGAAAAAGGCTCGTTCTAACCTCATAAAAATAGCCCCAATGCCACCACTTTGATTAAGATCATATTTTGAGGTGTATATATTCTATAAAATAGAATTTTTTCTTTTATATAAGATGATTTTTGGGTGGTAAAAATGTATATTAATCTTTATTTATAAAAAAAATAGTTAAGGTTTAAAAAGTTACTTTTGCAGGTATGAATCATATAATATAATGCATTATAAAAACTCTTCAAGCTGTCCGATGGAAATAAAAATTATAGCCGCATATGCATTATATAATTATATAGTTTTGGTAAGAAAGTTATCCCTTACAGTTTAATACTCTAGAAATTAAAGCCGCCTCGCTATAACCCCGGGTTCATTATATTCCCGGTCTCCCCTACTTCTATATTGAAATAATTTGTTTTGGAAGATTAAAAATTTATTAGAACTAAACTAATCAATTTTAAATTTATTTTGCAGTGAATATGTTATATAATTAAAAACAAATAAATGGAAACAACGCATATTTATTATTCGATTAAAGAATATAATGAAAATATGAAGTATTTTACATAAAATATTTAACTTTTTAAAACTCCAAATATTTTTTGTAAAAACTCTTTTGAGATTTTTTGTGAACAAAAAATCTTTCATAAATTTTAAATATTAATATTTTTTTAGGATTTCTTTTCTTTAAATTTAAATCATTTTATTTCGTAAAAAATATGATATATATATATATTCTATTTTATAATAATTTCGATAATAATAGGCATATAAATAAATCATGTATAAAATCTAAACATTATAAAATCATTTTATATGTTCTCGACTTCGAACAAAAATGATACCTTTTTAGAATACAAAGCGTTAAAAATTAAAATTATTAGGGATTATCTAATTAATCAGCTGACCGCGATAACCCAACTCCATATATTACTGCATACGTTCAGGTTAGTAAAATCATATGTTTTGAATCAAGGAAAGGGTTCAATAATATTGATAATTTCATCTCGTTAGGTCGAAAAGTGATTGCCCGAGATTTATTTTTGAGATGCCAAAAAAAAATTTTTTATGGGATTAAGCTGGGGTGAATATGGTGGGAATTCAATCCTATCTTTGTAGGCATCGATTAAATGTGATATATGAATAGATGCATTATCCATTACAATAATTGCATCAGGTGGCGCACCATTATAACTCCCTCTATAATTTTATAAAGTTCATTTGTGGTTTTTCCGGTAGAGACAACATTTTACTAACTATGTCGATTTTTCTTTATTTCAATATTTGTATATTTTCTCGGTCTTGAAATAGTAGACGAGGATTGGGAGTTTGCATTTTAGTTAGAATTGGCAGAATTTGATAATATATTATTTATAGTAAACATTATATAAAAATTCAAATTAGGCAGTTAATTAAAAATTTTTCTTTTAATTTATTAATTTTTTTTTACGTAATATATATTTTATAAATAAACGATAGATTTGTTTAAACATTATATGCCTATTCTATTTTTCATTATATCCTTTAATCGAATAATAAATATTTGTTTATAGAATTAAATATTATACGATTATTTAAAAAGTTAATCAAAATATCTACCTTTTTTGTTATTACGACAATTTTTCAATAATTTGTTCTGAGTGAGGATTAAATATCGATGTTAAGTAAAGCTAGTCTATTCAAACGGTTATAAAGGTCATACTTTTGAGATTTTCCACAATGAAGAAATGATCCTCATTTGTGCTTGTACTAATTAGTATTGTTATCTAAATATACAGTAATTTTAATGTATTAGGAAAAAAAACTAATATATTTTAAAGTAAGCAAAGCTTTCATTGCGTTTCTTGGAGGATTATATGCTAAAATTAATTTTTCATACCAAGATTTAAATTCTAAAATTAATTGGCGCTCAGATATATTTATATCCTCTGAATAAAATTTAACTAAATATTTAATTTTTTCAATATCAAGATTTAATATATACTTCTGAAGGATTAATAGGTATAAGTATTTGTAAATTGAATAGATCATGAGATGTATTACAAATTGTTCATTAATTTCAGTTAAAAATGTATCCAAATGTGGAATAAAAACGATTATATTATAGTAATTCTCAATTGAATTCACGTTATTAATGAAACCATGTGTTAGTCTATATGCAAGTCTAGACTTGCGAATTTCAAAATCATAAATTTCACCCTCAACAATCACATAAATCTCTTGAAATGGTCTATATTGTCTCTTAGTTTTTTAAGATGCTCGTAGCTTCAGCTAAATCTATGTCATTTTTTGAAAAATATTTCATAAAATTATGGTGTAACAAAATAATTTATTAATTCATTCCAATGCAAAAAAAAATCGGCTCTCGTATTGAAACCCAATAATATATCTGCATCAGATGAAATATCTGATTCAGGCCATTCTAATGTTTTAAGGGCATTCAAAATAAATTCTTCTAAATTCAAAAATGTTGTAGTAGCTTGATGTCACAAGCCATCTTGTCGGGCATGGAGTTTCTTTCTTTTTGTAGCACAATAAGTGTCAGATATAATTTATTCAGCAAATTATATCTCTTTAGATATATGAACATTTCATACACGCAATTTTACCTAGTAGAGATAAAAAAAATTTTGGTTGATAAAATTATCTTGTAACTATTAATATTTGAGATTTAAAATGTAAGAAAACTTTAAATTTTCTTGGGATCAAGGAAAAAATATCTATAGGAATTTTAACTTTTTGCTAAAATTTAAAATTATAACCTATTTGAAATAGAATACTTCGTAATTCACAATTAATGAAAGCCTTTTATATCTTCTCTAAAAAATTTGTAACGGGGGGGGGGGGCAAGGCGCCTGTACAATACAGTAACCGTATAAACCTTTTCAAAATAATGAGGAAATTTTAAAAAAATAGATGAAAGTATTAAATCATATAAATTTTGTCGAAGGAGACAATAAATCAAAGCCCGATTCTTCAAGTCATAATTTTCAAGGCCTTAATAAGTTGGAGTTAAGTAAAATTACAAATTCGGTTCATAGGCTAATATATATTTTTTACAATACATCAGCCATCATCGCCTAGATATCAAATGGAAATAAACAAACTGCCTTAGATAATATTCAAATTCTACAGGTTGTTTCTGCCACAGGACTTTTTTAAAAATATTAGGCATAAAAATAACCATCATTAAGAGGGACTTAAGTGAAGACTTATATCTTGGGCACACATATTTCTTGAAATGTGTTGATTCAACAACATTTATATTCATAAATCGATACCCTACCAAAATTTTGGAAAGAGGAAGATAATTCCCAGAAAATAAATTCCCTACCATTTTTGTTCCTGCAGAGGACGGAGGGTAATTTTCGAAATAATATAAAAAAAATTATTTCCACCATTCAAATTAGAAGTATTCAATATAATTAATTAATTTTTTATTTACATCTTTTATTTTTTCAAATAAAATTTCTTATGATTAAAAATAATTTATAAGAGTTTTCTGGAATTTTTTTTAAGGAAATTATTTTATCAATGAGAATTTAATAAAATTTCTATTTATAACACTTATTTTTTACCGCAAAATCTATTGGATCTGATTTAAGCTTAAAAGAGAGAAATGTAAGATAAACAAATCGTTGTTGAGAATCGGAGGTTTCTGAACATTAATTCTAAATTACTTTAAAAAGCTAGGATAGGAAATGCGGAAGAGGAAAAAAAAATTCACCTATTAATTTTTTAAAAAAATATAAAAATAACTTTCCTTCCCCACCCCCTCCCCCCAGAAAAAAAAATTGAAATTTTTTTCCTGTATCTCTAAAAACCTTCAGATAGAGAACATATTTAAGCGGCAAAACATAAAATTATATTATTCATTTAATTTGATAATTAAAAATAATATAAAATGACGTTATATCAATCCCATATCGAGGGAATATATATAAATTTAAAAATTGATTGAATTCACTATTTAAAATTTTTTATTTTAGATAACATAACTGTGAAGATAAGGGATAGTGAGAAAACAAAATATATTTCTCTCCCTTTCTAGGCATAGAGATTATATTACAAATTATCTTATTTGGCGATAATATATTTAAATTATATTTTCTTTTATTTATTTAAAACAATTATATTTTTTCTTCGCATCATTAAATTAAGCCAATTTGATGTTGAAATCATAAATTAATAGGTATTTACCAGTATACGAAATCTATTCACATTCTATTACTCAATAAATTTTATATTAATTTTATTAATCATTTCCCAAAGAATGAAGAGCCCCTTATAAGAGTTTCAGAAACCAAGACCATTTTAGGATCTCCCGATTCTCAAAATATGTTGAATTCAAACACCGAATTAGATGGTATATTCAAAAATTAGAATTTAATTAATTTTTAAAAGAGTTGCCTATATCCAAAATATCTTTTAATTATATATTATGGGTGAAATATTCCCGATTCCACGAATTTTTTAAACCGATAGTTCTTGGATGAAATATAAAATGTGATCCCAAAACTTTTTCCAGGAGCGGAAACATCGTCTTCATTAAAATTTTTTTAAGGAAATACACCGATTTACTTCTCTACTAACCATTCCCTAAAATATGTTTACTACTTACTCCCTTAAAAATTTACCTTTATTCTCCTGAAAGATATATGAGATCAAAAGGCTCCTAACCACTCGGTCACGACTGAGCCGAGATATAGACTTTTTATGATATTTTAGAATCTATTGAAGCTAATTATTTATCATATATGTGATTAAAAATTTAATTCAAAAAGAGGAAGACAAAATAATTTATTGAAAATAATTCCCTAATGTGTAAACTTTCTAATTAATTATTATAACTTAATCATGAAATCCAAAATCAACTATTAACCCATTTTAATATATCCTGTTATTTAACTAATATTTTTCAAAATTTCTCATCAGGCCAGGCCTTAAAAAATTTAAGTAAAATTTAGATTTTTTTTAAGTAATACATTCAATAATAGGAAATATCTATATGACAAATCTACTATGATTACAATACCTAAGCTATAAAGATTTTAGAACTTATATCTATATATTAGTTATATTTGCTATAAAGCCTTAGATTACCTTTTATTAGTAAAGTTCCTTATCTTTAATTAATATATTGATTATTATTTTATATATTGAAATCATAACATTTTAAATTCAAAAATTCATTGGTATTTTGAATTATAATTGGTATTGATGCTTTTGTTTTATAAAATAAATCATGTGATTTAAAAAAATAAAATAACTTTTATAAAATATGTAACATCAGTTGTAGTTAGATTTTTTTTGCCGTAGTATAGATATATTTTTAAAATTGTTGATAGAGTTAGATATATTTTGTATGTAGCATGCCATACGTCTCAGTGCAAAACCTTCTATAACATTTAAAAAATTTTTTAGAAGTTTTAATATTAATGATAAATTCAGATTTAATAGCATAACAAACAAGCTATAAAATTATCATTCATAACATGAATAGACATCCAATAAACAGAAATATTAAAATATATTGTGGACTATATTTATATTTTTGTATCGCCGGGGTGGCCTAATGGGTTAGATGTATGCTTGGAAATAGAAGGACGAAGAGGAGGCAGGTTCAATCCTGGTAAGGAGCATAGTTTTACTTCGATGACTAAGATGAATTTCGGAGCTTAGAGATGACATTCCGGTCACCGACAGGCCTGGAAAGCCGGGTGCTAAGGATACCTGTCCAATAAACAAAAATAAAGGAAACAAATGAAAATATGAATATGAAAGCTAGGGCGTTCCTTCCAAGCGACGCGCAGGGTGTAGACCTCCATCCTATGAAAAGTAAAGTAAAGGTCAAAGCAATGAAGACAATTTTAGCAAGTTTGAATATTGGGACGCTTAAAGGTAAGACGAGAGAATTGGCATTAATGTTGAACAAGAGGTTGATATAGCGGGCATACAAAAGACGAAATGGAAAGGTCAGAAGACTTTAATGATTGGAGATGGGTATAAATTGTACTATAATGGAATTGTTAGCAATGGGAACGGTGTCGGCATCATCCTCAGTCAAGATCTAACCTCCTCAGTAGTAGAAGTCAACAGGATCTCTGATAGATTAATGAAGATAAAACTCTGCATTGGTCAATCAATACTACACATCCTTTCAGTATATGCTCCTCAAACGGGTTGCAAGGAAGAAGAGAAAGATGACTTTAAAGCTATCCTTGATGAAGCTATAATGGAAATCCCTAAGGATGACCTAGTCATAATTGGTGGTGACTTAAATGCGCATGTGAGGAAAGCAAGAGATCATGATGGTTTTGGATATGGAGAAAGATATAATGAAGAAGAGCATTTACTGAAATTTGCGCAAGTCTTCAACCTTGCCTTAACCAACACCTACTATATAGAAAAAGACAGTCATGAAAGTGGTACAAGGAAACACAGATAGATTACATGCTAATCCCTCGCAGAAGATTAAAAGATGAATGTAATAGACTGCAAATCCCAAGAGAAGATATCGCCGTGAAACACAAGTTACTAGTAATGGATTCACACCTCACAAATAAATCCACTCAAAACAAGATAAAACTGGAACCATGCATCAAATGGCGTAAATATAAAAAAACAATGACAGATGTCTTTGCAATCAATCCAAACATTAAAACAATAGATTCCTCACAAGTCAGTGAAAAAAATGTGGACAGACCTTTCATCCAGATTAATAGACACTGCCAAGTCGACACTAGGCTTGACAAGGGGAGGCAACAAATCATACAAAGAACTATGGTGGTAGAATGAAGAGGTATAAACCACTATAAATGAGAAAAAGCTTTATATGTGGTACAAATCTAAAAACCCAGATGACAAGACTAATTACAAAAAATCCAAGAGAATAGCTACAAAGGCGGTGGCTAGGGTCAAATCTATGACATACGATGACATGTACGAAGATCTACATACCAAGGAAGGGCAAAATAAAATATACAGATTAGCCAAACAGCGAGAAAAGAACTCTAGGGATATAAACGGAGCTCCGAAAGTAATCAAAAATAAAGATGGGAAATTGTTAATAAAGGAAAAAGAAATAATGAATAGATGGAAGGAATATTTTCAGGAGCTTCTCAACTTTAATCCCCACATCTACATCTAGATGAACACTTCCCATGTCAAAACCTTGTACAACCAATAACAGAACAAGAAATAATCACATGCCTCAAGCATATGAAAAACAACAAAGCTAGGGGTCCAGATGATATTCCAATAGAAAGCCTTAAAGCACTAATGATGGAATACATTTCCTCACAAATCTATACAATAAAATATTTGGAAATGAAGAGGTTCCCCAAAAATGGAGGAGAGCTATCTAGTTCCTATCTTCAAAAATACAGGGGATCCACACAATTGTCAAAATTACAGGGGCATAAAACTAATGTCACACTGTCTAAAACTATACTAGAAAAAAGATTAAGAGACATAATCGAAATAGGAGAGACTCAGTTTGGCTTTATGCCTGGAAGATCAACAAATGATGCTAACCACGCAATTAGGCAAATGAGTGAAAAATACAGGGAAAAAAACAAAAAGCTACACATGGTCTTTCTCGATCTAGAAAAGGCCTTCGATAGAATCCCAAGAAAACTTATTTGGTGGGCGCTACGCCACAAAAAGGTTCCCGAAAAATATATAAGAATAATACAGGATATATATATGGGCCATACAACAATGGTCAGCCGAAGGAGTTCATCAAGGGTCGGCTCTCAGCCCACTTCTCTTCATTACAGTAATAGATGTATTAGCACAGTCTATACCTTAAACAGTCCCGTGGAATATTTGCAGATGATATTGTGATACTTGCCGAATCCAACGATGAAATGAAAGAAAGATAAGTGAGTTGGATAAATATCCTAGAAAAGCATGGACTAAAAGTAAATAGAGAAAAGACGGAGTATATGGTGATAGGAGATGAAACAGAGAGTATTGATATAAATGAATGGAAGATATCGGCAATTGAAAGCTGTAAATATTTGGACCTCACCAAGAGATAAAGAGTAAAATTAATCAAGGGTGGTTAAATTGGAGATCTTTATCTGGAGTGCTATTTGACAAAAGAATCCCACACAAATTAAAGGGAAAAATTTACAGTTCCATAGTACACCCAACTATTCTAAATAGTTCGGAAATTTGGCAACCAAAGAATCAGACGAGAGAAGTCTACAATGCTGAGGATGATTGCTAGGATAACAAGAAAGGATAAAGTGCGCAGTACAAGAATACTAAGTAGTTTAATGGTAGTGCCCATTAAGGCTAAGTTAGTGGTAAACAGACTTAGGTGGTATGGGCACACAATGAGAAGGCCTATGAACTACATAGGAAATATGGTTCAGAGTTTGGAAGTGATGGGCAAACGTAAAAGAGGAAGGCCAAAACTTCAATGGGGCCATAAATTTAGAGCCAATATAAAGGAGTATAAATTAGATAAAAGAGATTGAAAGAATAACATAGAGTGGAAAGAGATGTTGAAGGAGCTTAGAATAAGGATTTAATGGAATTTTAAATAATGAAAATGAGGCATTTTTATCGATATTACGAGATTAGATTAATAGAAAATATATTATTAATATACTATGAAGAAAAAAAAACATATTTTGAAAATTGTTAGTCGGTTTTGTGGTGAGACCGACCTACCCATCCTTTTACCATATATAATATTTAAAAAAAATCTAATAGAATTAATAATTTGTGAAATATGATAGGTTCGGATCCGAATAATCCATACTTCAACCCTTATTATGATCCTTATCAAAATGTGGGAAGTCCCTCCCATGGTGGCGATAACAGGATGATTCAGAAAAACCCTCTCATATCATTCAATAATCCGCCTTTATCATCTTTATCTATTGGGACTGGATCCATAGTGGGAGGTGCTCATTCCGGCAATCAAATCCAACCAATAGGCTCTTACCCGACGGTCTACAATTCGTACAACTTACCTCCCAGATACTCTACAGTTGAGTATCCGTCTAATCCTGCGCAACTTATAGAGGCCTACAAAGGGCAACATTTACCGATATCATTGCAAATAAAGGCTAATGAAATAAGGCTTAAATCTGAAAACGGAGAATATAACGAATTAGGACAAAAACTTGGCCCTTCTAGAAACTCGAATAAAAAGGGTGATGATGAAGATCAAGTGAATTCGGCAGGAGATGAATATGTGAATGACGCTCTATTCAGACTAGCCACCAAAAACAGATATAAAACCGGAATTAAAGCCACGATGGATCCGCTCCAATTTTTGCTTCCCTTCATATTCCACCTAAAGGACAAAAACTCTGATCATCCAAAACGGCAGCAACCCATTGTGCTTAAGGGATGAACGGATAAACAAAAATTTCCAATAAGATGTGCTGTCATATATGTGGAATATTATTATATTATTATGTTTCTTAAATTATTTTATTTATTTTTATAAAATAATTAAAGTTGTGAAAGAATTTTTATGATATTACACTTGTTCCTTTTTATAAACCGAAGTTGTAAAAAAATATAAAAATACTTGATATATTTTTATGTTGTAATTTTGTAAAAGAAAAGTATAATAAAAAGAATAAAATTATAACTTGTTTAATTTTAGAGTTGTCAGTCTTCCTATAAACAGCACAAAAATAATTGATAATAAAAAGAAGATGAAGTTCTCTTATAAAAATATAGAATAAAACCACATTGTAAATAGTTTTATTTTAAAAATATTAAATCCTCATATAAACAGGTACATCTACTTAAATGAATTAAGCTAAAATCTTATTTTTTTAATATATCTAAAATTAAGCTCGGGGGAAGCCTTTGGCAATGCTTAATACCCTTTCTCATTTTATTTTTTACATTTTATTAATTTTTTATATAAAACTGTTAATCCTATTAATATATTTTAAAGAAAATATGTTATTGAAACATACTCTGTATTATTTATAAATATACCTAATAAAAACTTGTCACTTGAAATTGACATATAAAATTATGGTTGGCTATAAAATGTTATTGGTGAATAAATATATTGATTTAATTAACTAATATGTATTTAAAGCATGTATATCAATCTAATTACTCAGGTTACATTTTATTTTAAAATATATTTGCATCATCAAGCAACGATTTAATTATAATATCGTATTAAAATATTAGAATTTCATTTTAAAATATAAAAATAAAAGAATTTTTCTCATTAATTTGATTGGATCTCAATATATATAAATACATTTATTTTATTTTTCTAAAGCATGGGTTGAGAAAATTATTAATTGCCAATTTATTAAATTGTTTACAATTATCCAAACAAGATAGGTATCGTCAATATAAGGCAAGGAAAAAAGCAGCTGTTAGAGAAGTTGGATATTTGTCCGAGAGAAATTTTCAATATATAAAAGTAAGAAATATTTTGGACGAAAATTTTAAAATTTTAAACTATTCTTTAACATTTGGCCATATTATTGTTGTAAGTAAAAATAGATAAATGTATTTTAATACGCAAAAAACGAGATGCTTAATTTAGAAAACACATATAAATCATGCTGTGATTTTATAATTTTCCCACCTAAGGAAAAATAATTAAAGATGAAAAAACAATTCAAACATAGGTGCTCATATTGCTGATTATTTATTGGATCCCCAATATAAGGGAATAATCCAACTAGTAGTGAGTTCGATTAGGAATTTTCAAGGTGATGATAATCAAAATATTTAAAAGGATATCATAAATTTTAGAAATAAAAGCGGAGGTATATTTAATTGCCAAATTATATGGAAAACAGTAAGTTCATAATGACAATCAGATTTCGGCTTCAAGTTATTAGAATGGAATTTCCCATCTTGAAAATTAAGAAAAATGTATAATATCTTACTAACAAATCCTAGTTCTTCTTTTTAAGAAAGAAATTGATCGGTTTGGGATAATATTTATACGAAGAAAAGAAATTAATTAAAGATCTCGACAACCAGATAATTGTTAAGAGTATATCATAACCTAGATTGCTTAAAATATTAAGGGAGGATAATATTGAATATAAATCAGAACAAGACTCTGCCATGGAGAGTGAAACATTAATTATAGGATTTTAAAAAATATAATTTAATATTATAAATCATTTTTTTACCATTATATATAAAACAAAGAATAAATATTTATTTGAATTTGACCATATTTGAGCGGTGAAATGCACAACCCTGTATAAAACTAATAAACAATAACCATCTTCATAATGTAAATTTGGCCCGGCTTAAACTCGTGCTTTTTGGTATTCTTGAATATGGGCTAATTTATTGTAATGATGTGCATGGAGATTAATTCGAATCCACCAAAAACTGCCCAACTCGCATCTATTTAAAAGTTAATTTTAAAATATTTTGCATAAATATCAATATTTTTAAACACGATAAAGTGATTAGTTTATTATCTATTATCGATCCAAAAACTTGTTCCATTGTCTGTTGAAATATGGCTGAAGACGTTTTAAGTCCGAATGGAAATCTTGTAAACCTGAAGAATCTCTTGTGTGTGGATATTGTAAGTAAATCTCTAGAGTTCTTATGAATCGGGATTTGAATAATGGGTTATTTAAAATCTATCTTGCCTCTCGCTAATTTGTTGATTCTGGGTATAGGGTATTTAAAATCTTCAAGAGCTGGGTTAACAGTTTCTTTAAGCCTGAGACTCCCATTATTTTTAAAGACTGGTGTAATTGGGTCCGCCCATCTTAGGTCTTTCACTGGCTCTATGATCTTGTTTTCTAGGCAAGTATTTAATTCTTTAGTTATATTGTTTATTCTGGAGTAAGGAATCCTTCTCTGTGGTATAATCTTTGGTTTGGCATTTGGCTTTACCGTAATCTAACTTGAGTCTTCATGACAGGTTTATTAGTTAACTTTGATTCGTAATTAGATATCAACTTCGCCAACTTGACGTTATCATCCACATCTATCATGCCTATGAATCTTTCAAGTATATTCTTAAAATGCTTTAACCATGATCTTCCTAACAAAGGCATCTTGTTAATGTTTACAATTAACGCATCCAAAATTTGAGAATCCTTTCGTATTCTACATTCATGAATCTATCATTTGTATCGTTTTGCCATGGTACCCTGATAACTAGATGTTGGACTTCAATGTTTTTTATGCTTGTTTTCTATCATATATTCTGGTATAATTGGTGCCAGTATCCATTTGTATTGTAGTTGCGACGTTGTTAATTTTGATGTTCACCATATATGCATCACCTTTGTAATTCTCAACCTCGTTTTATACGTTATATATGTCAATATTTGATAAATTATTATTTTTCTTCATGAAATCTATCATTTCGTCTTGGAAAATGATAATTGATTTGGTTATTAAATCTTAGGTTGTCATAATATAGTCGTGTCTGCCATGGTTGTCCTAAACTGTTGTTTGTAATGATTATCGTAATGTATGTTGGTCTCATCATAAGGAATCATCTGGGCATTATCATATCTGCTGTTTGTTGATTTTGTTCATTAACTTTTTTTTTATCTTGCCACTCCCTCCACATGTTTTACATCAGAGTGTGTGTTTTCTTTGATAATGATCTTATATATTGATGTTTCGATCAATTTCATCTAATTCTTTACCTATCTTTATGATATCATCTAAAATGATTAAATCTTTTGTACTTTATTTCCTTAGACAAGCTTGATACTTTATTTTCTCTATAACTCTGTCGTATCCAACAAGTTGCAATCTCTGTTGAGCTGACAAATTTGAGTGATCAACTCTAAAAAACTTAAGCTCTCCTTTTGAACCGCAGCATTAAAATCGCTAATTTTCTTGTTTCGAGTCTTAACAGGCTGTAATAATCTGTTGTTGATTAGTATCGAAGATTTCATAAGATCGGCCTCAGGGCATATAGATTGTGGTTTAGAAGATATCATTTGGTAAATTGTGGAGTAAGGTAGTGGTATTATCGTCATCTGTACTATTATTCTTAAAAATAAGTTCAATTTTAGTTATATATGTATCAATATTTCCTATATATTTAAGAAACTCACATTTGTATAATACAGTATCATTAAAAACAGTGGGTTTTTTATTATCCAACATATTTAAATAATTATAAAAAAAATTTTTTTTTAATTATTTTTATTTTAGAAAAAAGAAATAATTAATATGAAACTCACCTTTGTGTTTTAATAAAATTTTATTTTACGAAAGATAGCTGCTGCCACCATGTTAAGGTAGACTGGGAGTAAGACATTAAATAAAAAAGTTATACAAATTTTATTTTATTTATTAAAAAATTTAAACTACTGAATCTAATAAATTTTACATCTATATATATGTTATAAAATTCCATTTAACAATTTATTTAATCGGTCAATATAAAATAACAATCATTTAAACCAGGGACGACAACCCTCCTTCTAAAAAAATGGACTAGGGTTTGGGTTCAGTGAAAAATCTTTAAACCCGGTTCGAATTCAGGTGGGTTCAGGGTTCGGAGACCAGAAAAACAATGACTTATTAAAATTAGTTAAAATAATAGAAACATCATTTTTTAAAAAATTTATTTTAATTAGTATCACCATAAAAATAATTATCATCATAATTATAATATATTATATATAATCGTCGTCTAAAATTGGAGTGCCCCACTCGACATTTTCAAAATTTTTGAGTTAGAAATGGATAATAACTTATTTATTCCCAATATATATAAAAATAATAACTAGATTAAAAAATATTGATTTTTGCCAAAGTTATTGTCAAAATTGATCAATAAATTTTTCCTATATTTTATTTTAAACTTTAATGTTGATTTTCTCATTTTAAACATTCAAAATTTTTGAGTTAGAAGTGGATAATAACTTATTTATTCTCAGTATATATAAAAATATATATTCATTTTTACCAAAGTTATTGTCAAAATTGATCAATAAATTTTTCCTATATTTAATTTTATTTAATGGATTTTCTCATTTTAAACATTTGTTTAATTGGGGCACTCCGTTCTAGATCGACGATATAATACAGTGTTGTGATGATTTAATGAAACATATTGACGATTAAATTAAAACCCATCCATATAAAATTTTAATCTTCGCAAAAATAATTAAAATATAGACAAAGCATTATTGAAATTTTTTTTATTATTCCTTTTGTTATTTTAATTATTTTTGCAAAGATTATAATTTTATATGGATGGGTTTTAATTTAATCGTCAATATGTTTCATTAAATCATCCATCACACACTGTACTACAATACAATTTAAAAAATTATTAAATATAACAAAAATAATTACATGACCAAAAAATGTTTTTTTTTTAAATTAATATTTTTTTGAATATAAAAACAATTGTTTTGAATAAGAACTCTTTTTAAATAGGAAATCTTTTATAAATAAAAATCTTAAATTACATGTTTTTTATATTATATTTTTTTTAACATATGATTTAAAATAAATAAGAAAGTTTAAAATAAAATAAAAACTTGAACCCTGAACCCCAGATTTAAAAAAAAGGTTTGGGTTCGGAGAAATATTGGTTTGGGTTCGGGTTCTAGTCCCTGATTTAAACGACCAAAGTATTAAGAAACTTTTAAGATAACATAATGTAAAGTAAAAGAAATAATAAAATCTGTCCGTAACGTAAATATAATGTAAAATAAAAGAAATAATAAAATCAGTCCTTAAGGTAAATATTAAGTTAATAGACTGTGAAAAAGAAATAATAAAAATCAGTCCATATATATTAACAAGTTCAACCCTTTTTAGTACGCTTTGCATATTTTTATCAAATTTTAAGAAGGATAAAAGAGACAACGATTATCAGCATGAAAATTTTCATTTTTTTTTGTTTCGCCAAGTACCAACATATTTCTCAAAAAAATAAGAAAGTTAAAGAACGAAGATTGTGATAATTGGCACTTTTCTAAATTATTTCAATAAAATTTAAACAAAATATCTTTTTTTGAATGATTTCTCAAAATTTTTTGTGGTACATCTTCATGAAATTAATTAAACATTTTTACAATCCATATTTTAACCCATTTGTGTCCAAAAAACTTTAAAAATAACGATTATGACAATTGCTACTTGTCTAGAGTACATCTTCACTGAAGTTTTATTTTAACATGTTACTTACCCATTTATGTAAAAAAAAACAAAAAACTTAAATAACTATTTAGTTAAATTGTATTTAAATTAAAATCGTTATTTCATGCTACTTTTTTAAGCAAGTATTTATAAAAAATAACGAATATGACAATTGTCACATTATAATATTATCCTTAAATAGATCATATAAAATCACATTATACATATTTTTGCCCATTAGCGTCAATAAAATCTAATATGTTTAAATATACTGATTATGATAATTATCATTTTTCAAAGGAACAACTTCTTTGAATTTATAATTTAACATCTTTAACCAGTTTCAAGTCAATCAGATTGATTAATCAGTTACAAATACTTTTATTAAAAACATTAAACGTTTTTTAAAAAAAAATGTATGATGAATATACTTAAAAAATATAGATAATTATACAAAAATGATTTTAAAAAAATTATAAAAGATTTTACCTAAAATAATGTTTATTTATAATAAAATTCACAAAAGAATTCCTCAAAAAAGATTTATTTACAAAGAAGATTTAAAATTATTGGGCGTGCTAATAAATTGTAACAAAAATCTCCATATATAATCACCGTAATGAAAAAATCTATATATGTCGTAATTTTTAAAGGGATCATGACTATCCGGGATCTTCATGGGATTTAAAGGGATATCTTTAAAATTTCAATTTTTTAAAGGATAAATATATTATCACGTTTTAATGGTGATAAAGAGGAATTTTATTTTAAAAGCATTTTCCACGAGTTTCGCTGCGTTTTTTCATTTTCTATGTTGTTTTTTTGGCCTTATGATATAAGATATATATAGTATAGGTAGTGTTGCGTAATCGGCTAATTTTAGCCGACTAAAAACGGCTTAGCCGAGATTTTAGGTGGAAAAATCGGCTAAGCCTAATTAGGTATAGCCTAAAAATCGGCTAAGCCTAATTAGGCTAAGCCTAAAAATCGGCTAAGCCTAATTAGGCTAAGCCTAAAAATCGGCTAAACCTAATTAGGCTAAGCCTAAAAATCGGCTAAACCTAATTAGGCTAAGCCTAAAAATCGGCTAAACCTAATTAGGCTAAGCCTAAAAATCGGCTAAGCCTAAAAATTGGCTAAGCCTAAAAATCGGCTAAGCCTAAAAATTGGCTAAGCCTAAAAATGGGCTAAGCCTAAAAATTGGCTAAAATAAATTATTCAAAATTCTGCATCGATGCTTAGCATTAATTATTATTTATTTATTTTAGTAAAATAATTTATTTTATTTAATGTAAATATTTTATTATTATCAACAAATAAACATGATAGGATTTAATATTTTTTATTTATATTATTATATTTTGAAATGAAAATAAATTTATTTATTTGATGTTTTTTTAATAAAAAAAAATAATATGCTGCTATATTGTAAAAATGTAATATTCTTTAAATATAATTTATTAGTGATTTTCACAATCTTCTTTGTAAATACATCTTTTATTGAGGAATTATATTGTAAATTTTATTAGATAAATACACAATCTTTTAGGTGAAATCTTTTATCATTTTTTTAAAATTATCTATTAATTATTAAATGAGGTGGATTTTATGAAACTTTTTTGATGTTATTTTATATGATCTTTTTAAGGATAATATTTTAATGTGACAATTGTCATAATCGTTCATTTATAAGTTTTTTGAATTTTTTTGAAGAAAGTATGTTAAAATAAGTATTAATAACATGTGTAAATACAAATTTAGTGAAGATGTACCAATGAAAAGTGACAATTGTCATAATGGTTAATTTTAAAGTTTTTTGAATTTTTTTGACGAAAATTTTGTTAAAATAATTATTAATAACATTTGTAAATATAAATTTAGTGAAGATGTACCATAGAAAAGTGACAATTGTCATAATCGTTATTTTTAAAGTTTT